AAAAAAAAAAAAAAGAGAGAGAGAGAACAACACTCCTATAAACCTTTAATGGAAGTAATTTGGCTTTTTGGTCTCAACTTTTTTAAACCTTATTACAAGGTGTACGCAAGTAAGATATAATTCAAGATCTATGTGGTCAAAGGCGACATGGCCCAGTGAAACCAATATAACAGGAGGCTTTTACAATCGAGCCTTCATTACTGTGCACTCACTATAAGACTCTTTCACAGCAAAAGCATTTTCAAACACAGCTCAATGAGTCCAAGGTAGGATGATCATTTCAAAGCTGTCTGGTGCTGACATTTCTTTTATTATACAATGCTGTTCCTTATGCCAAAGCGAGGGAACTGGTGTGAAGTTTGCTGGGTTCTGGGTCAGAAAGAAAGGCTAGTTCAAAAGAGTGTGGCGTCCTCCTTGGGATACAAACACCATCTCTTATTTACAGCACTGAATTGGCAAAACCTGTTTTGGAACAGACAGCAAGACTGTTTTCCCCACCAGCTACTGTGCATTGCCATGGTTGCTGTCATTAACAATAACAAACAAAAAGCTAATGAAAGATAGTACTACAAATCAATCACCACACAATCAAAACACCAAAATATGTTATCAAGGAAAGATGCTGTAGAGACAAATACAAAATAGGGCTTGGAATTCTTTGAAATTCACATTTTCAATAATATATAACTGAAGCAATGTTGTTTGTCAATCTCAGGAGGTCAAACTAAATATTATATTCATATATGAACTCAAAGTGATTTTTATCTTCATTCTATAATTATAAATGTTTAATATAAGATTGATTGATTGAAGTGTTTTGCCATTTTTCAACCCTGTTACCCATATTTTGGATGTATTTTAACCGTTTAAAACCTTGATTGGCTTTGGTTTATTTTCTAGCAATCAACTTTAATTGATATAAATATTGGATGAACTATTAATGAAATTCAGGTTTAAAGGTTAAATGGTGCATTTAGATACAAAATATGGCTTAAAGCTCTTTAAAATGTACATTTCTGCTTTTATCAACAATGTGCAAATGAAAATGTTGTTTGTCAATCTCAAGAGGTCAAGCAAAATATTATTTGTATATATATATATATGAACTCAAACTGATTTTTATTTTCATTCTATATTTATAATGTATAATGTGTAATATAACATTTTTTTTATAAGAGTTGGTCAATTTTTCAACCATGTTACCCATATGTTAGACATATTTTAATAGTATAAAACCTTGATTGGTTGGGTTTTATTTTCCAGCAATCAGCTTTAATACATATAAATATTGTATCAAATATTAATGAAATTCAGGGTTACATGGTGTATTTAAATAGAAGATATGACTTAAAACAAACATTTTAACATTTTTTATATAAAACTGATTTTATAAAAGTCTAGGCGATTTTTCATCCCTGTTGCCCATATTTTGGACATATTTGAATAGTATAAAAACTTGACTGGTTTAATTGTATTATTTTAAAACAATTGACTTAAAAAAAACATAAATATACAATACAAATATTAATGAAATCCAAAGTTAAATGGTGCATTTAAATAAAAAATATGCCAGAATGAGGGTTGTAAGAAACAGGGTTGTACAGGGTTATAAGAAACTCAGTTGCAGATTTTAATTAAACTGCTAATTGTTAATTATTTATAGTGAAAAAAAACCCATACATTTCCCATAAATTAAAGAAAAATGCTTATGTTTAAGCATTTGTTTTTTTTACAACAACATTGGTAACAGGGTTGAATGGTTGAAATTAAAAAATCATTTTCAAAGTTCTAAATAAAACAAAGGTTATTGAAGTTTTTACAAGAAAATACAATTTTAGTTTTGAAATGAAGATGTCACACTTAATTTAATGCACCATTTCTTTGTAATAGTTTGTCAAACTTTTTTCAGCAATTTCTTCTGCTGCTGCTTATTTTTTATTTTTTAAATGGAAAATAATTAGAAATTGAGAAAACAAAAGGAGATTATACTTACCTTTCACCATGATGTGGAAATGTTCCATTTTGTTTAAACAGGGAGGAAATCATCCAGTAACAGGGTTGAATGATTGTGGAATATATTTAAATAATATGCTTAATAATTAAATAAATTAGTTAGCCAATATATACCTTGGTAAGTGCCTACGAAGTAAGCACACCAGACAGCATTTAGGATAAATAATTTAATGCTAATATCAATACATGTACACTCTCACAAAAGTGAAAGAACCAAAAATTGCCATGTCATCTCATTCTAAACAAAAAAACAAACAAACATCAACAGTCCTTTAAATATTGCTTAACTAACCTAAAATCCCTTTGACAACAATAGCAGATGCCTGAGAGTGGAAACCATTAAATTAAAGTCGTCGGCACACGCTCACCGCAAACGCGCACACACACTTTAAGTAAAATATAGGGGGGAGGGGGGGTGTCCTACTTTCATATCATGCACCCCCTTTTTAAAAACAACATTACACCACACTGTGAGAAATGCTTTAACAGTCCAAATGTGAGAAGTAGTGACCCAAATACTCATTTGGTTTTGATAATTCATACTTATTATCAGTTTTATACAGTGTTTGGAAGTTCAGTGGTTTATCGGTCGTAGCACATTGTCTGCGTGTTAAATAAACAGTCTGTGTGCATTAGTAAGAAGCGTATGATGAATTCTGTACAAGTTGTTTTAACAATGCGTACTGTATTGTGACAGTCGAAGCTGCGGTCCACCTCCAGTCTTGGCTCACTCCATTTAATATTTAGTGGGTTTTAAAACGGGGTTGCACCACTAGACTTTTATTTGGTGTAGAAAATTGCAGTTGTCAATGGCTGAATATCCTTTTAAGGGAGCTGTGGCAAGGCAATGGATTCTGAGTGCAGGCAGAGCCTGAATGTAACAAAATCCATTAACAAAGGATTCTGGGAAAGATAACCCCATGCACACAACAGCAAAGCACTTAAATCTAGATGTCTGTTGGGTGTTCTGTAACAAAAACAGCAGTCTAGGCACTCCTAATGGAACAGACTGAAGGAAAGATCTGGGTATGAAGAAAGCTGAGGGCTGTTTGATAACATTCATGAACAACACACCATTATAACGGCAGATCATACGTGAAAGCCGTCCGAATGGAGAAAATGTAGCGGAGGAACAGGAACTGTTCTCACAGATCAAATTGCATTCACGTCTCAGTGTAAACTGTCCATGTCCTGACACTGTCTCCTTTATCCTGTATGATGCTTCATAAATCCGTAATAAAAGACATATTATATACGACATGCGGGTGTAACAGCTTTGTGTAGATGCGTTTCTTTTTTCCTTGGTTCTTTTCATGTAGAAAATCATGTACAACAATCAGAAGTGATTGTAGGTTCTGCTTAGTGTAACACTACATGTTGTCATTATGTCAAATATGGCTGTCAGTATTGAGTATAAAAACTTTAGCAAATTCAGAGTGATGTGAAAAACTGTTTACTAGTACTGAGTTTATATCTGATTTCCTGATATGATAATATAACCAGAGTTTGTGAGAAGAGACAAGAAGAAAGGAGAATGAGACGAGAAGCGACAAGAAGAAAAGATACAAGAATGAGAAGGGAAAAGAAGAGACGAGAGGAGGAAAGAGGAAAGAAAAAATATGAGACAAAAGGAGAAACAAAGAGAAGAGACAAGGAGAAAAAAACAAGATGAGTTGAACAGAGAAAAGGTGAGAAGAGATTAAACAAGATGAGATTAGACTAAAGATGGTGATGGGAGATGAGGAGAGAGAAGCAGAGATGAGATGAAAGACGAGAAGAGACCAGATGAGAAGAAACGAGACAAACTAAAATAAAAGAATAGGAGATGATGAGAGCAGAGACAAGGTGAGAAAAACATGAGAAAAGACGAGATTAAAATGAGATGAAAATAGAGCAGAGACTAAATGAGAGGAGAGAAGATGAGACAAAAAGAGGAGAGATGAGACTAAAAGGTGGTAGGAAGATAGAGGAGATGAGATGAAACATGAAGAAGAGAAGGGATGAGATGAGAAAAGACGAGGCAAAATGAGACAAGATAAAGTGGGAAAACATGAGAAACATGGATAAGAGAAAAGAGGAGACTACAATAGATGGGATGAAAGGAGAGAAGAGATGAGGAGAGGAGATGAATAGAGATCAAAACAGATGAGCAGAGACTAAATGAGAGGAGAAAAGATGAGACAAGACAGAGAAGAGATGAACACCAAAGAAAAGAAGAGACGAGACGAGACAAAGGAGAATAAAGCACACAGAATTAAATGAGACAAAGCGAGAAAAAAGCATGAGAAAACATTATGTCAAATATGGCTGTCAGTATTGAGTATAAAAACTTTAGCAAATTCAGAGTGATGTGAAAAACTGTTTACTAGTACTGAGTTTATATCTGATTTCCTGATATGATAATATAACCAGAGTTTGTGAGAAGAGACAAGAAGAAAGGAGAATGAGACGAGAAGCGACAAGAAGAAAAGATACAAGAATGAGAAGGGAAAAGAAGAGACGAGAGGAGGAAAGAGGAAAGAAAAAATATGAGACAAAAGGAGAAACAAAGAGAAGAGACAAGGAGAAAAAAACAAGATGAGTTGAACAGAGAAAAGGTGAGAAGAGATTAAACAAGATGAGATTAGACTAAAGATGGTGATGGGAGATGAGGAGAGAGAAGCAGAGATGAGATGAAAGACGAGAAGAGACCAGATGAGAAGAAACGAGACAAACTAAAATAAAAGAATAGGAGATGATGAGAGCAGAGACAAGGTGAGAAAAACATGAGAAAAGACGAGATTAAAATGAGATGAAAATAGAGCAGAGACTAAATGAGAGGAGAGAAGATGAGACAAAAAGAGGAGAGATGAGACTAAAAGGTGGTAGGAAGATAGAGGAGATGAGATGAAACATGAAGAAGAGAAGGGATGAGATGAGAAAAGACGAGGCAAAATGAGACAAGATAAAGTGGGAAAACATGAGAAACATGGATAAGAGAAAAGAGGAGACTACAATAGATGGGATGAAAGGAGAGAAGAGATGAGGAGAGGAGATGAATAGAGATCAAAACAGATGAGCAGAGACTAAATGAGAGGAGAAAAGATGAGACAAGACAGAGAAGAGATGAACACCAAAGAAAAGAAGAGACGAGACGAGACAAAGGAGAATAAAGCACACAGAATTAAATGAGACAAAGCGAGAAAAAAGCATGAGAAAAAAGGAGAAAAGGGAAGACTAAACTAGGTGAGATGAAAGAGAGATAAAACAAAGATGGGACTAAAAGGTGGGGTGAAAATAGAGGAGATTAACAGGAAACATGAAGATGAAAAAAGACATGAGACGATACGAGCCGAAGCGAGAAATCGAGAAGAGAAAAGGGGAGACTAAAACAGATGAGATTAAAGGATAGAAGAGAAATGAGCAGAGAGGAGATGAAATCTGAAAACAGATGAGAACATGAGCTGAGAAAAAAGAGAGAGAAAAGATTGAGACAGTGACGAGAGATGAAATCTGTCATTTCCTCTCCCCATCACTCTCAGCAGATCTTCCACATTCAGCTTTTCTGCTGCTCCTTCAGATGCACTACAAGCGCGTGGCTCTAAACAGGATCTCATCCATCCATCACAAAGACACTAGGGAAGAACTATTGCCTTGCGTTCCATTCGTCAGAGGACAAAATGTTATGATACGCCAGTGCAGATGGGCAATGCTGGCAGAACCAACAGTGACGGGATGGTGACCGTACATGGACGTGATAGCCTGAGTGGAAACGATGAGCCATCCTGAATATGTGTGTTTCTGAAGTGAAGTCTTTGGGGAAAGTGTACATAATGTGGATTTTGAACACCAAATGTGTGTGTGTTTGTGTGAAGGGCGCACTAAGAGCTGGCCGGTTTGGTGTAATCATCCACTCCAGTGATAGTGGCCTTGCAGAAGAAGCAGTCCTTGTTATTCATCAAGTGCTGATTGATACAGGCCCTGAAATAAAAGACAAAGTGAGTGAGGGAGCGAGAGATCGGTTCGTCAGTGACATTTAATCATTTAAAGAGCACTGAATAACGTCACAGCGTGAGTTATCGATGCTGCACTTCACGATATATACGTCAAGCCAATCAAAAGTAAACTACCAAGAAAATTCATTTGATTGAGAGCACAGTTTTGATGTATATGATTGGTATTGCGACAGCTTCAATGCAGTGCTGAGACCACAACGTTGCCAGTGGACAGTGCTGGGTAGTAACCAAGCGGCAACCTCCCGCTCTCTCTCTGTGAAACTAACACAGAAGTGACTAAAACTGCAATTCATCGACTGGCCACTACAGGCTGGCTCCAAAAGGGAGTCAATCCCATAGTTAAAATGCCCAACTTTACAGCAGAAAAAAAAATGTTTACAGCCTGGTACAAAAAGTGCTTTTGGTCTATATATGTAATTTTGCCCTTCATGACAACTGTGAGGGGGGTGAATTTTTTTTATAACTCATCCGCTTAAATTATATTAAGCCTTAAAGTTCTGCATAATTAAGGGCGTGGCCACTTAAGTGACTGGTGGATTGCCACTGCAGTCACCACAGTCGAGCTAGGTGGGCGTGGTTTCAGCAACCAGCTCCCGCCTCTTTGCCCATATTATCCGGAAGTGACACACTACCAAGATGGCGACGGCCAGCTCCACCCACTTTGAGCTTCAAAAACGCTCTTCAGAAACCTACGGGTGACGTCACGGACACTACGTCCATGTTTTTATACAGTATATGGTAGTAACTGATTACATGTAATGCGGATTACATAATCAGATTCCAAACATAATTAGATTAAAATACATTTTAAAATGCTCACAATCAGATTACAGTTACTTTTAATGGACTACATGATTACATTTTATTCACACAGTAATGGCAGTAAAATGTTTTGATTGTTTTTATTTGAAAAGAAAATGTGAAACCCTGTCATAATGTAATGTTACATGTAAATCTAAACGTAATCCAAAAAGTAGTCGCGATACATTACCCAATGTGTGTAATCCAATAGATTACATTACAAACTAAGATTTCCGTCATGTAATTGGTAATCAGTAATGGACTACAATTTTGTAAGTAATCTACCCAGCACTGGCAGTGGAAGTATCGCAACAGCGGTAACCTATCCTTAGTATTTCAGGCAGTGTTTATGTTTATATATCAGTAATGGCCATCGAAGCGTTTAATGGCATGGTGTTAATCTCTTAAATGGAGGAGTGAATGGAAGAGCGGAGCTGTTGATAGGATGTTGGCAGCAACTCACTTGCAGGATTTGTGGGAGCAGGGCTTGAAGATGGCTGATATGGAGTGTGCATAGCAGATCGGGCAGAGATCGTCCTCGCTGGTCGGCTGTGAAAGAAAAACACTGTGATTCAATCCACTGTGTGTTAAAAGATGTTGTCAAAGACAAAAATGTCATCATATTAAGAAAACCAACAATATATTAGACAGACAATATTTAAAAGGAAATTAAGGACTGCTTGAATCTTTTCGTTTTTTTTTTGTCATTGGTCATTAAAAAACATTGCATAGCGCATGCATAAATAAAACTTAATAATCTTACTAAGAATTTCTGATTTAATATTCGACACTTTTTTCCCCAATAAATGAGTACATAATATCTGAAATTTTAAGTGACAGTTTGGATAAGTTCATCCTGTGGAGCTTTTTGCCTCTTTTTCATAGTTTTCAATTTTGTGCTATAGCAGGTACACTCTTAAAAATAAAGGTGCTTCAAAAGGTTCTTCAAGCGATGCCATAGAAGAACCATTTTTGGTTCCACAAAGAACCATTCAGTCAAAGGTTCTTTAAAGAACCATCTATTTCTTACCTTTTTGTAATCTGAAGAACCTTCTTTTGCCCCAAAGAACCTTTTGTGAAACAGAAAGATTCTTCAGATGTTAAAGGTTCTTTATGGAACCATTTAGACAAAAAGGTTCTTCTATGGCATCGTGAAGAACCTTTATTTTTAAGAGTGTACATTAGTGAGCATTTCAGTTTATATACTAAATAACTCATCATTATCATCATGTACATGCTAAGCTCATCTCTAAATGTTACAATTTAGCAATAAAACACACTGTTCTTATCCCAATTCATTTTAAGTCAGTGAGCCTAACAGCCAAACACTTTTTTAGTGAATTGTTGTGACATCTGGTTACCCCTAATGTCAAAAAGTGCCTACTTATGGTATTTTCGAAGTATGCATCACTGGACTTATATTGACCAGAATTTCTTATGCTACAGAAGACCTCATTTTATTTCCTAATACATATTCAAAGGAACAGATTTTCACCTGCAGAGCAGGTACTTTTTGTAATTAGCAGCAAGAGAACAGAGCTTGACCCCTGACCCCTCGAAACAGGCTGATGGAGCTTCATTAGTATACAAGCATCTCATTAATATGTAAGCCTTATTATTACACAGTCAAGGCAGGTGTTAAAGGAATAGCTCGCACAAATATGTGAATTCTGTCATATCTGCTTCCAAAACCCATTAATTAGTTTGTTCTGTATGCCACAAGAAAGAAGTTAAGCTTTTTATTTTGACTTAAAAATATTTGACATTTGACAATATTTGACGTTACAAAGTCACTTGAATGACAATTAAATGTCAAGCAAACAAACAAAACCAACACAACAAATTATTTCCTAAGTTATAATACATTTTTGAACATAAATATTTATAACATTCAGGCATATTATAAAACCAACAACCAACTTTATGGATATATAAACAAATAAAGTGAAACTGATGACTTTGATATTGTCACGAATCCGGTCCATGAACTTTCCTTTTCATTGACTCTCGCACCACACAAACTGTTGCATAGCACCCCGGACTACATTTCCCATCATGCGTCAGCCCCGTAACAGATATAGGTTAGGCAGGCAAATAGATTCTATTTATATTCCCTATTCATATGCTATTTACTTATGTATGTAGGACACTGTGCACCTGCACATTAAAGCAGTCACGTATTCAACACACATGACATTTACAAAAAAATAAAAATAAAAAAAGCTGCAAAGAACATTATCCACTCATCCCAAGGGAATGACACACAAAATAATAAATTCAGCTCTCAGAAATGTCAACAAACTAGAACACATATGTACAAAGACGTCAGAAGATGCATATTCCTTTTTGGTGACCCCAACGTACTCACTTATGTACTGTATATAACACTGGGGAATAGAAGATTAAATTGATCATTAAATTGATGATTTCAAACAGAAATCAAATCTGAATCCCTGAAATTCTATTTCTTAAGTATCTACTTTTTTTCTAGGATCTTACTGTGTTCGAGTGGCACCCAATATGAAATAAGAATTAGTGAAATGGTGCAAAATCTGGGCAAAATCTGTTAGGGTGTTCTGGGTGGTTGTTGTTCGGTTGCTAGGGCATTACTAGGTCTTTGGAAAGCAATTAAAAAATAGATTTATATCTAATTCAAATATCTACAGATCCTGCTGTCAGTTGGTCTCGTGATTCCCAATAGACGGCATTCCTAAAGCAGCCACAGAAAATGCTGATGAATATTCTCCTTCCATCCTTCAGCCTGAGTCACACAAGACTCCCGTAATCTCCACACTTTCATCCTAAGGCTTTCCTCAGCTTGGAAGGAAGGGAACATGGCATGCAAGTGTTAATTGAGCTCTTTGTACTGATTTCATGGGGAGTGTGGATGAAAGCCTGCAGTGAGAGAAGAGCAGCCAGGCCTCCATCCCTGCCAACCTGTCTGACTCCATACACCGCAGAACATAACCTTACATTTTCATGCTTATGTTTTTTTTCTTTTTTGCCCTGAATCCTACTGCTAACATATTCTCCCATTTCACTATAAATTAGTGTTAGTCCAATATACTGGCCAGATCAGTTATTATAGCCACGATTTAAATGTTTTGAAATAATAATACTAATAATTTATTACAATAAACTTAATGACCAGATGAGACACCAAATGACAAAAAACAAACAAATGCAAACTACAACTATTTTACAAAACATTAAAAAAGAAAAAGAAAAAATAAGTAAATAAATGATAATTAATTTTACAAATAAACAAAAATGTACATAATATTTTTACGCAACAATTATAATTATTATATTAATATTATAATAATTAATTTTTACCAAGCAATTTAAATAACAGATGACAGCAAATCAAAAATGACAACTATTCAACTATTTTACACAATAATAAACAAAAAAATACATACATACAAAATTACTGGTAGACCAATATACTGGTAAAAAGTGTTGTATGTGTACATATAGTGTTGTATGTGTCGAAAGGGTTTTAATGTGCTTTATATTGTTAAAAAAAAGTCAAACAACATGTCAAACGACTAATTAATCTAAATTATACATTTGTTATACAAGTACTCAAACCTTCCATCCACAACTCTGTGAGGCCTCTACAATGACTGCATGTTGCAGACGGACAGTCCTTGACAGACCTGTACGAAATGAAGCCAAGGGCACGGAGGACAGGTTGTTAAGTTATTAAGATCCATTTAATATACTTTAACTGTACATCCAAACTGATTAAAAATAGAACGTAGGGTGGAAAGCAGCACTTCAGTTAATTTGAAAAGGCACTGTACTGATGCAGTCATTTTTAAAGAGTAAACCACTGATATATCCTCAGTTACCCAGATAGCTGGGCTATCGGGTTCTTCATCAGTTTCTCATGCGGTTCTTTAATGCGAATGGGGCCTTTTGTTTTTGTGTCTGGTCTTCCCCAATGTCCTTCCATTCTCAAAGTCAAACTTTGTTCCAAGGAGAAAGATTGGGTTTCTGTTTGGTCTCTAAGCTGAGACGAAGGAAATACAAACCCCTTAAAATCTAATTCACTTCCTCCTAAGTCCGTCTCTTCTGAGCTATTACCTTCAGCTCTTGTGTCTGAGTAATGAGGGAAGATAGCCACTATTTCAAGGTAATTTGCAGGGACAGAGAGTGACCTTGACTGGGCTGGTTCACTCTGGTTCATGGCAGCCTGATAAAACTGCTGGATGCTTTACTCAATGCATATGGTTACTCTAGCCAGTGAGCGCACACTAACAGAGAAATCAGTCAACGTCAAGACTGGGCACTGTGTGACTTCAAGGAATAGCTCATTCAAAAATGAAAATTTGCTGAAAATGTCCTCACCCTCAGGTCATCCAATACATAGATCAGTTTGTTTATCTGAACAGATTTAGAGAAATGTAGCATTGCATCACTTGTTCACCAATGGATCCTCTGCAGTGAATGGGTGCAGTCAGAATGAGAGTCCAAACAGCTGATAAAAAATATCACAATAATCCACACCACTCCAGTCCATCAGTTAATGTCTTGAGAAGTGAAAAGCTGTTTGTAAGAAACAAATCCATCATTAAGAGGTTTTTAACTCAAACCGAGTTATTTAGCCGCTTATGGCTAAAATGACGAGTTTTGACTCTCATTCTGACGACTCCCATTCACGGCAGAGGATCCATTGCTGAGCAACTGATGTGATGCTTAATTTCTCCAAATCTGTTCTGATAAAGAAACAAACTCATCTATGTCTTGGATGACCTGAGGGTGAGTACATTTTCAGTAAATTGTCCTTTTTCAGTGAATCAGTCAGCAAAGTTACGCAGGTGAAATCCAGTCATTCCACTACAAATCTGCACGTTCAGGAGCAATGTTCCCTTTTTTCCCCCCTCAAATTTTTTTTCTTCTTGCTGAGCAAAACTTTTCTCTATTGGGCAGACATTTCGGCCACCTGAGCAAAAACATTCTTTATACCAGACCTGTACAGCGCGTACACAAAAAAGTGTGTAACTTTTAACTTTAATGTGCTATTTATATTTGATTTGACCCTTGATGTAACTAAATGATGTACATTATAGGTTACCTGCGAACATATTTTACAGTATAATACACTGCCATTCAAACGTTTGGGATCATTACATTTTTAAAATAAGTTTTTTAGGCTCATCAAGGCTGTATCTATTTGATAAAAAAAATAATGAATATTATTTCACAAAATAATATTGTTAAATATTATTGCAATTTAAAATAAAAGTTTTCTATTTTAATATACTTTACATTTAATTTATTCCTGTAAAGCAAAGCTGAATTTTCAGTGTCACATGATCCTTCAGAAATCATTCTAATATGCAAATTTATAATCAATGTTGGAAACAGTTGTGCTGCTTAATATTTTTTGGGACCTGTGATTTTTTTCAGGATTATTTGATAAATAAAAAGTTAAAAAGAACAGTGTTTATTCAAAATAGAAATTTTGTGTTACAATCTACACTATACTATTCAAAAGTTTGGGGTCAGTACATTTTTCCTTTCTTATTTTTTTAATTAAT